AAACAACCAAAAAACCAACTTCGAAGAGCGATCTACTCCAAGTTTTGAAGCAAGAGGGGCTAAAATCCCACCATCTAAAATTGACGAGATGATTTTCACGATGCCTCAAAGGATAAACGAAATCATCGAAGCGAAAGGATGATCTACTAGATATTGATTAAATTATAAATATATCAATTCATGTGAATATGACTGAAAGTTTTCATTTTTTCTGAAAAGGTGGTGTCTATTTAGTTGTGACCGCACTGTGTACATTATATAGGCTACACTAACGTGACATTTAGGCAGTTCGTTTATCTATTATACGTGATGTACGTTTTTTGGGGGTGGTTAATGAAAGTGTTCCAAAACGCGATATTAACTTCTTGACAACCTAATACTTGTTAATATATGTTTATTTTTTAACGCTTATATATGTACGTGTGTGTCTGTACCCTATTTAATGTAAATCATTCCTTAAAACGGTTTAAAACTAATAGTTGGACAAATTCATAGAAATTTGGAAAAATACATTTGCAATTAAAGTGATTGTTATCACAAACTTTTGGTCTATTGATTTCTTTTCCATAAGAGGTGCATATTCTCGGGCCCTCTCAGAGGTTCAGAGAGGTCCGAGCCACTTCTATTTTTGAGGCCCCTGGCTATAATAAAAATATATAGTTATGCCACTTGAGGAAAAAAAAAAAAGACAGTCATTAGCCAAAAAGAAAAGTAAAAGTAATTTAATATTTAATTTGTATATATATCTTGCAGCTCTAAGCTGAGAGTGTGTCACATTCTGGTCTGATTGGGAAGCACATTAAACAAGACGCGAAACTTAACAAATGCGAAAAAATAACAAGTGTCTAAACTTGAGGCCTCCTTTGAGCTTGAGGCTTTGCCCCCCCCCCCCAATTGGCCCTATATATTCCGTGTGCTTTAGCTTGTTTCTAACATGTAAAGTGATATTATAAATTAAGACTGAACAGCTACAATGAATACAATAAAGCTATCGTCATCATCATATGCCACCCCCAAACATTTATACACTTCGGATTTCTACTACCTGCAGTTGTCTTGACAGTGAATTTGTATTTCAACTTCCATGATCCCGCCAGCTGGCGGAGAAACCCGTGTTTGGTAGAAGCTGTTCTTCCGATCGATGTTTGAAGTAAGTGATGTTGTATACCGTTTGTTGGCGACGCCGTGTTGGAGGTTGTGAGTGCTGTATGAAAAGACAGAGAAAGAAAATTTGATAAAATCTATTATGACACAAAAAATAAACTCCTATAAAAGCCTGTTTTATTTTTCTCATTTATTAAGTAAACTCGCCATTGCTTTGTGTAGTAGTCGATACGACAAATGTATTCTGTTTTAAGTTATAAAGCTTGATATATTAATTTTGCCCTGTAGTTTAGTTGAATAATAAATACATTAATCCAAGCAACGCGTCACAAATATCAATTTTCTTATCAACTGAAAACTTATTTTTTGTGAACTCCTATTTTAACAGAAAGGCACAGCACTTTTGTACATTCATTTTATCTTAATAGACTTATAACATCATGACCACAGGCGTAAGTAGTTTACTAATAATGCTTGGAGACGGCTTGAATGAGTAATGAAGAAAAACTTTAATATAAGTTTAACATAACAGCAAATGTACAACGTTTCAACAAGGTTTTGCCATCATCAGGTACCTTGTCGAAACGTTGTACAATTGCTGTTATGTTAAACTTAT